AATTATACACTGGCATAGGGACAAAGTCGGGGGAATCATTCTAACTATGTAAAAATTGAGTTGGAACCTGTGTGTAGTATGGCGTCGGTGCCTCACGAAATGCCGCCTCGTCGTCAGTATCATCAGTATCTTCCTCCTCGCTCACTAATCTCAAATCTTCCTCAGTATCATCGTCGCTCGAGTCGAATGGATAGCTCGGGCCAGAAGTTTCAACATGACCACCATCACCAACATCGTCTTCTCGCTCATGTGAAGTACACCTTGATCGAATGGTATTCTCGATTTCAACCCACTCTGGCCCCCAAGCAGGCCATTGAACGCCATCGGCCTCAACAAATGGGGCAGGTTGATCCCGTTGCGAGTATTCTTTCGATGGCACCCATCTTGCACTACTACCTCCACCGTAGTTCCTTGAACTACCACCCCCTCCGTAACCTCATGTATAACCACCTCCTTCGTAGTTGCTCGAACTACCACCCCATATGTACCCTCCTGCAAAACCATCATCATAAGAATACTGGTGAGAATGAGTTTCACTGACCGTCTCGGTCTCAACATACACCTCTGCAAGCTGCATCTCGTTATCGCTTAGGAACTGTAACATCAGCGTAACCGCATCATCATCGTTTATGACAACTTCTTGGTACACAACCCCGCCAGCACTCATGTCTGGATACCGATAACTAATTTTACCAAGTCTCGTTTGTCCGCTCGTACAAACCCTGTCTGCACAAATATCACAGCGTTCTTGAAAATTGATTCGCGACTCAATTTTCAGCATAGTGGATTCACCGTCCTCATAATCAATCCCTATGTCAGAGTTTGTCGCCTTCCATTCCACCGAATAATAAGCTGAAACTTCTTGAATTTACTCATATCCACAATTTATAATAAGTAACTATTAGCTTAATTCCAGTAAAATTAACCAAAACCATATTGTACGACTAATATTACTCCATCTCATAACTAACATAACATAAATTCAACTAACTAACAACAGCATAAATTCCCCAGCTAACATAACATATTTGCTACGATAAGTAATTCATAACATAACAATATAACTACTAAAAACATCATTAGGCTACAATACGAAAATTAAATCATATCGAAAATTCATGTTCTGTGTATGTTGCTCGGTTTTGGTTGCTAAAATTTGAAGAGGGAGAGGGGTTACGTTTTTACAAATGCTGGTGGGAGTGGTATTTATAGGAAAATCGGCCAAAGTTCACCGCCTTTGTCTCAAACGGCGAACAATATCTCAGCGTTTGTCTCAAACGGCGAACATTAGGTGGTTGTGACCTAATTTTCACCTACCATGTATGGGAAACGTGGGAAACAATCACCGCCGTAACCTAGTGTGATGAAAATGTTCCCCACCTTGCCTTAAAACGGTGACGTATTCACCGTTTTCAAATAACACGGTGATTTATTCACCATTTTGGTTAAACACTGGTTCTTAAAAAAAAATTCCAACCCTAATGCCATCTCAGAATGTTGAAATTAAATAAATTTTGTGACATGATAGTTAAATCAACGGCCTACCGTGCCAAGCCAAGTTATTGCTTATTTGGATCATTCAATGCAAGTGAGCCCACAAAACATTTCCGACCCAGGCCCAGCATTTTCGGTTCATCGCTGGGATTAGGTATGGACATCAAACCATTGCAAGACTTTTCAATCCCTACTGCTGGAAATTGAGCTTACTAGGCACAATCTCAGTCGTTCATTGTTCCATTATTCCATATGATTATTCATGGTAAATAATAGTTGTTGTTATCCATGGTAGATGTCCTAGCGTACAAATAAATAGGGATAACTCGTAACGAGTTGTTACTACTTTCAACAATCTCATGACATGTGACCCAAAACAATCTTGATTGAGATAGTGAATTCGTATTCGGGTGACTCGCGTAGCAGCAGCAGTCATAGTGATCATCGGTTGGCGCGGAAGCGAATAAGGTTAAACACATGGTGTACGATTTAACTTCCCGTTCGATTAATGCTCGCTACGGGTTTCACGAGTATTCGTGGGATTGAACATTTACAACACCCCAACTGTTCTTGCATATAGATTCATACCATCCAAAAAAGAAAAAAAGCAGCAGTAAGAGAGAGTGGGTACAACAGCAGTGCAGTAAATTGGTACAGCTAAAGCTTTTACATTAGACCCCCTAATGAAGAAAGAGGAGTTCAGTTCAGTAGAGCCTGAGAAACAAAAGCAGTACCCCTAACCCTAAAGCAGCAGAATTTGGGGGGGTTTCAATTTGGACCAAACCTCATTCAATGGAGAGACTGAAGCAAACAAAGACCATCAACAAACCCACTTGGTCGGGACCTAAAACTAGACTGCAAATGAGCCGAGCCGAGTCGAGTTTTACCCCAGTTTGAGCTCGGTTCGTTAATAAAGCTCGAGTTCGGCTCGTTTATTTAACGAGCCGAGTCGAACTCGAACTTAGCTTGTTTACTAAAATCTTGACTTTTATTTGGTACTTCATTGAGTATATCATGATTCATGATACATATGATATATTTTGTTAGCTAATCTCATATTATACTTTGTTGGTATCATATATCATTTAGTTAATAAATTTTAACTACTATGAAATCATGTTATTTCATAGTTTCTTTTTAAAATAGAAAATAAGATAAATTTGTTCACATACTCAACGTGTTAAACTTTATATATAGTGAGATATATAATTAACAACCGTATGAATTAAAATCATAAGATATAGACTGATTCGTCCATAAGTCGGTAATCGAGTTGGGCTCTCTAGCCACATGTTGAGACATATCATGAGCTCTAAACGAGCCAGCTAACGAGTTTAACTCAACAAGCCATCGAATCGAGCTAGCTCGTGAGCTTCACGAGCTGAACAACGCTTAGCTCATGTTCGACTCGTTTATTAACAAACCGAATTTCAGATGAGTTTTTCTCAAATCAAACGCCGAACCACTCACAAACAGCTCGCCTCATTTGCGACCCTACCTTAAATCAGTTCAAGCTCTTCCTTCCTTTTCTTCTACTACTAATAAAGTAGGAAGCTCTCTTCAAAGTTTCCAGCCTAAGAAGAAAGGCTGAATGGGGCCCTACTACCCTCTATCACCATCCCTTACCTCTCTGGTCGACACGTGGCGTTGCAAAACTAAAAAAAAAGATTCTTTATTGGAGACTCACTTAACTTTTATCGTCAACGATATTGCCTCTAAAATATGGAATAACTAAAAAAAATGGCCACTGCAATCCATCACCATCAAGTTTTTGTACAAATGGACGTGTGATCTGAAACCCTAACGGATGATGGAAAAGTTGCAAATAACACACTCTTTTAAGTAGACATCGTGCAGGGAATTGGAAGCGATTCCAAGTAACCAGACCGATTAATCGATTTGGTTTGGAACAAGAATCAGGCTTATTAGTCTATGATTGAGGCCCCTTTTTTGTTATTAGTTCGTATGATGGCGTGCTAAACCGGACAACTTGAATTGAAATCCCAATGAAAAATAGCGAAAGAGATGAGTATGATGACCGATACGTTACTTATTCCAAATGTTAACGATGTCTCTATTCATACTCATAACTGAATTATCGATCTGTCAACTATACTCGAACATGCAATTGACACCTCTGTTCATACTCATGTCAACTACAATCGAACATGCAATTAACACCTCTTTTCATACTCAAAACTGAACTAACGATTTGTCAACGGTCTCGGAAGTTCGATGATCATTTATGTAATTGACCCCCATTACAGGATTAGCACACCAAACACCGGGTCCCCCCATAGAATAAGAGATCACATAAACAATTTACACAAGAGACACATCCACCACCAACATTCAAATATATGTACATATATGGAGTGGAGGGGGGAAGGTGGTGGTGGGGAAATGGGAATGCCCTTTGCTTTGGCTGTGTCTGGTTGTGGGGAGAAGAGAAAAGTAGAGATAGAGAGTGAGAGTGAGAAGGAAGAAAGAAGAAAAGGAAAGGAAAGGGAAATTTGTTTGTTGGGGCCAATGCCAAATAATGTAGTTAGGCAATAACTGAGAGAATTGGCCCCCAGATTGTGAAATGACATAAATGAAAAAAGGCAAAATTGAGGGTGCTGCAGCTGCTGTCTCCCATCTTCTCCTCTCTTCTTTTATCAGTGCTGAGACTGAGAGAGATCCCTCACATAACATTGGTATTGAAACCCCTATTCATTGAATTGGAAGCAGCTACACCAACCCCAGAGAAAGAAGGAAAAGAGAGAGATACAATACCAGACAGGAAACAGCAGAAGAAGAAAGAAACTATTCCTTTTCTGTTTGAATTCAAAGGGAAGCATTTTGTCAGAATCATTCAGCAATTTAATATGATTCTTCCATTTCTGCTAAATGGGTTATTTGTTGATGGTGTAACTGAGCTGTCAGATTGAGTGTGAAAGTTCAAAAACACAGTAGTCAATCAAGGCAAAAAAAAGCAATACAACTCCAGTTTAACACGTTGTTCTGTGTTTCACTCATGAATTCTGTGCAATCACAAATCACAATCCACACAGGATGATCAATGCGAAGTGAAATCTGTGAGTTCTGTGAACAAAGCTAGCACCTTTAACAAGGTTTCAATTACCCTCTCCAATCTGATATTGGAGCAGCAAAGCTTCAAAGATTTACTGTTGAGGAGTCAACTACCCCTCAGCCAAAATGAAACCTACCCTCCTCTAATGTTAAATCAATGAGATAGGATGGGTAGCCTTAGAAGTAGGTGGATGGACAATCACATTGTAGAATGAGCCACCAAACTAGGACCTTGCTACACCAAAACTACCTCCACAAAAGTGGAACTTGAAATGGCAATGCTCTGCAACACTCAACAAAGCCTCTACAGCACATCATTAGCACCAAGAAACCTTCACATAAACTTAAACAGGAAAAATCAAGCGTGCATACACAAAATGAGGGCTTTCTGGCACTATTAGATGAAAAGAGATCATTTTTTTCAGTATAATTGAGTCTTAACTGATTCTAGTTATATCTGCTTATAGGTCACAACTCACAGGACAACTATAAGTCCTGCATTGTCTATGCCTCAAAAGACCAGCTAATACCAACTTGGAATAAGCATTGAAAATTGATTCTCATTTACAATTTTACCTCATCACAGCCTGCCTGCCAATCTCAACATTATCCCTTGCATCTGAACTCTAACATAGCAAAATGACAGCAGCAAAAAGGATTGGCTGAGCATATAGTTCAGAAGCAGAACACAAACTCCCGCACGGATATACATTTCGTCTACACACAACAAAAACATTTGCCTACAAACCTGACCCCTCTATGGTTCAACCGACGAACCTGTTTGTGGGAAACCCTGGTGGCCAGCAGGAGTACTGTCCATCCTCCCCCACATTGTCACTGAAGTGTGCTCTGTGCTCTCTAATGGTAGAAGCATCTGTACTAGGGTCACCTTTCATTGCAGGGAACTCAAATGGACCATGACTACTACTAGCAGGGAAAAAACTGAACTCCTGGTTGTTTGCTGGAGATGGATCATTGAACCTTCCATTGTTGCCTCCATGACCCGAACTTCTTTCCATGGTCATACAAGGATCTGAGGAGAAACCCAACTTCAATGACAAATCACAATGTGCTCCTGCCCTCTGCTCATAGACAGGAAGAGTAGTTCTTGGTGAAGCAATCTCAAGACCTGGGGAGAAGAAATTCTGCAATGCACCCATTTCAGCAGCAGGATCTACAGCTGCTGCCGTACCGATGGGTTTGCCCACGTATATTGGGTTTGATGCTGCTCTCTCTGGGACTTGGGACACAAACTGAGGCTCCTTGTATTGATAGTGATCTCCATAATATAACGGATAGACATTCCCCAAAGGCACACCATCATATGGCAAAGAGCAGGCATGGCTGGGAGCACCAGCCCTTTGACTGTTACGCTCGAAAGCAGGAAGAGGTGATGAATCCAAAGTTGCTGGTGCTCTTGTATATTGATTACCGGAGTGAAAAGGCGGTAACTGAGGGCATCTTTCTGCATGTGCATCATTCAAGGTTCTTGCAGGCACTGGCGAAGAAGGTGGTGGAGGTTCTTGGACTCTTGGGGTGAGGTAACTTCTCTGATTAGTATGCCTTTGACTTCTTGAAGCTCTCACAGGAATGCAGCCCAGATTCAAGGCGGCTGAAACAAACATGAACCATTCATCTCTAAATTAAGGAAATTGAAGTCCCTACATGCTATGAACTTCACATATAAAAAAAAGGTTGAAACTTTAACACCGTATAGGCAATGACCCACGAAACTTATCTAAAACCAGATGCATAATTTACCAGTTACATGCAAATCAAACATGAAATTTCTGTTGTAGAACCCAGTGGTGTTAGTGTACCTTCAACGCAAGGCGGCAAAAGCTTCCCACTTTCACTGCTCTCATCCCTGCGAATGATGGTGTTGATTGCATCATTTACACGATCCCAAAGGGTTTCATGGCTCATGTACTCAGCCTTCAATCAAACCAGAAAGGCCCAAATAGAAATGAGCACCGAGAAACACACAACAAACGCCCAAACAAAGATCGACATCTAAGCAAAGCAAAGAACGGGGAAAAGGGGGGGAAATAGAAAAACTTACAAACTCACCTCAGAGTTAGCTTTCGAGTACATGATTTCCTCGGCCTTCAACACCACAATAGGCAGCTTCTCCTGCCATTCCTTGTTCTTCCTAGTTGCAGCACTGTGAGTCTCACTCACAACCCTATATAAATCAAAACACAGAAATTCAAAGACAAAATGAAAAACCCCACGAAACCAACAGAAAAACAGAAGGACCAAGCAGGAATAGCAACCTGAAAATCTGTTGAATGATTGAACCTCTCATCGATTGGTGCCTATCACTGTGCCAAGCTCTCCTAACACACTCATAAGGTCTTGGCCCAGGCCTTGGCATCTTTCTCTCCTTTTCTTATCACCCAACTCAAACACTCAATCCAACCATAATCAGCGGCCAGAAGAGAAGGGAAATGAAGAAACCAGGAGTGGGTAAGCTGGGGATAGCAATATGAAGAAGATGAACATGCTTAAAGAAGCTGTAGTACACTGAACTACTGCTGCTCCAGCTTCGTAGAGATAAATATATTACTTTCTCTCTACCATCCAAAATAGAGAAAAGGGGAAGGAAGAAGCAAAGCGAAAACAAAAGGAAAGGGAAATGGATGGGTCACTTCCAATTTCTTTCTTCTTCTTTTCACTCTAATGTTTGTTTTCTTGCCTTCACTTCTTTCAAATCATTACTATCTCTCTCTCCACGGGGCCTCCAACTGATGTTTTGTTTCTTTGGCTGGGGAGCAATAGAGTGGAGAGAAATAATGAGAGATTGGGGGGAAGAAGGGGGAGGGAGAGATATTGGAGGGTTGCTTTCCCATAACTTTGGCCTTTCCTTCACATCCAATTTCTTTACTCCTTTCTTTCTCTCCTTCAATAATTCAAGCTTTTTCTACAACCTTACCATATTTTTGTTTATATTTCATTTTCACATAAACATTCCATTTTCTTTGTGATAGGTCTAATTTATTGTTGGGGCACATACATATTTGTCAGAATTATTTGATAGACCTAGGACCAACCCCCTTGCCTATCTTTCCCCCCAATCCTATTTACTTTGTAACTAGTAGGGCTACCTACAAATGAGCCGAATTGTTCATAGTTTGCAGAAACGAACCGAGTTTGAGCTAAGTTTTGCTCAACTTGAGCAGCTCGTGAGCTAGCTTGGCTTGGTGGTTTGTTAAGCTCAACTCGTAAATTGGCTCGTTTAGAGTTCATAAGAAGTCTTTGTCAAGAACCAGTTGACCCCAATAACTCGAGTTCTTGGAAGAGGTTCAATCGTGGATCATATACCGTTTACTAACACATCTCCTCAAACTCAAGCGACTCAAATATGCTTCGAGTTTGCACAGGCACAGGTCCGGACACTATGTGCTTAACAGAAACAGATGGGGTCATTTGGGATTCGAACAGAAGACCTCCCAGTAATTGAAGGCTCTACTACCATGTCAAGAACCAATTGATCCCAATAACTCAAGTTGTTGGAAGAGGTTCAATCGTGGATCATATACCGTTTACTAACAGTCTTAACATTGTGGCTAGAGAAGATACTCGTCTGCCAACTTATTAGTGAATCGGTTTGCATCTTATGATTTGAATTTTGATAATTCATAGGTTTGTTAAACTATATATTTCATCCTATATGATGTTTAAGATGTTAAGTATGTGAGCAAAATAGTTTGATACTAAGAGAGTAGACCATGAGATTAGTTAGTGTTGAACTTTTGACTATTATTTTTTTCAACATGACATCTATCACATCACATGTCTCATACATAACACAAAATGAATGTATCAAACATGAATCAAGATTTTTGTAAACAAGGCTAGCTCGACCTCGACACGATTATTTATGAGTCAAGCTCAAGCTAGGGTAAAGCTAGCTCATTTGCAGCCTCAATAACTAGTTAAAACATGTGTCGCATGAAAAAGTTGCTACTTCATCATTTTCGGATAAAAGATGCTTCTTTATATCCTCCAACATGAACATTCGGATAAATGTGTCCTCAATCTGCTAATGTATTGAGATATGTTGAGAATTCGATCTCCAGTTAGTTGTACAAAAAATCAATATGATGAATGTGACTGCTTCGTAAATAGAAATTCTTACAACAAATGAACAATCAAGGTCAGTTACATAAATAGTTTAAATATTACCAGGCCAAAAACATATATTTCGTAAAAATGAGCAAGACGTTAAGCATTAGAATGATTATCATCTTAAAAAATCCATATCTCAAGAAATTCATAACTTTATTCATATAACCATCGGCCAAACTCAATCGATTATGTTTTCTCTCATATAAGCAGCGTATATGAACCTCCCTCAACCGTGCTAGAGAACTCATCCAACATAAGCGGATAGACGACATCACTCGTATTAACACCTACCCATAGTAGTGTACTGACCCGATTCCATAACATTTTCGATCACATACAAATCGGTAAATCATGATTTGACCACATCCATGGCTAGAGGCTCTTCTTCATCCGAATTGGAGAATCAATAATTACCCATAATGACACAAACAAAAAAATGAGTGAACTTTTGATTCCCCTCCTCCCTAGGGATGGCAATGGGTCGGGTTGGGTCGGGTTTTGCCAAACCCAAACCCAAACCCATGGGTTTATCTTTGAAAAAAACCCGGGGTAAAACCCACTGGGTTTGAAAAACTCAAACCCAACCCAACCCGTTGGGTATCCGCGGGTTCATGGGTACCCACGGGTTTTGTCGTAAAAAATTTACAATTACAAATTCTTATCAAAATTAAAGTCAAATATCAATCTCTCAATACAAATTATCCATATATAAAACACCATTCTAGAAAATTCAAACAAATCACAAATTAACTATACAAATTGTTCAACACCAATCTAGAAAACTCAAGAAAATTGAAACAAATCACAAATTATCCATAAATAACATGTTTAATTGAAAGTTTCTTCCTTTCAATTAAGTTTCTTTACTCTCCACTCCATAACATCAACTTCATTCTACACAATTAAAAAGAAAAAATTAGACATGTCTCCACAAACATAAATAAGTTTAGTTGTTTTGAATATTAAATATACTGAAAAAATTAATTATATAGGTGGGCGGGTACCCACGGGCCGGGTTTACCTAAACCCAAACCCAACCCAACCCGTTGAATAGTGAACGGGTTTAAACCCAAACGCGGCCCAAAACCCGTCAACACGGATTTTACCCACGTTGACCGAGTTGGGTCGGGTGGGTACCTGTGGGTTCGGGTTTTGTTGCCATCCCTGCTCCTCCCTTCCACAAAGGCAAAAGAAAGGTTAATAAAGGTGGTAGCAAGTGAAAGGGTAAAGTGGGGGTCTCCCAAAGACTTTTGTGACCTTTTTTGGGAACACACAGACTTCCACTTCCCCAGAAGCCAGAAGCCAAACCACACCAAAATCCCTTTTCCCTTCCATTTCCATTACAGCTTCCGGTTTCTGGAAAACCAACCTCTCCATAATAATAATATAATGTCATCATCACTTGCTTGCATCTTCTGCCCTTAGGCCACATTATTGTCACGCCTTCCTTTGCCGTTTTCGTGTCTCGTTTCTCCTTTCTTCCTTGTTTGCGGGTAAAAGACCAAGCCTCGTGGTTGTCATACTGAGGTTGTATGATGGGGGTTGTTCGTTTTGGGTGGAATCTATTGAGATTTTCAATTCCATTGACACCAAAACCATCCATTTTGAGTAGTGGTCAAAACTCTGAACCGGTACATGTGTAACAACACTCGAGATTCTTGTAAATCTTTTTTTTATTGTGAGAGATTTGTTTTTTTTTCCCCTTAAATCGTCTGGGTGTCGTTTTATTGTAGCATATGTATGATATAGTTCATGGGTCGTGTAGCGTGTGGTACGGCGCCATAGAAGAGATGTGCGCGACCATGTTTGTTGCATGACACAATGATAGGCCACGACCTTGACGATGCGTGTACGCAGACACTAGACAACCATTGATATGACGTGAATGAGCGAGGAGAGTGAGAAATGTAAGTGACAATATCAAGGGGTGGCTTGTTAATAAGGTATTCTACTCGATGATTTCCAAATGATATTATATCTTGAATACATTGTTTTCATGTTTTTGGGGAAAACAATCATGATTTTTTTGGTTCATCCTGTAATTTCAGAACTCCTATGACCATGATATCTCAAATTCATTGGGTTAACCAAAGTATTTGAGATTTTATGTCGAATTATGTGGGTTTACCGTGAATTCGTGCAGGTCAAACAATACATTTTGACTTTGCATGAGTTGTCACAACTCAACATACAACATACGTGAGTTCTCCAAATACATAAATTTTAAGTTACATACTTACCAAACAACCTCTTTGACACCAAATGAATTGAGAATTCATTTCATTGTAAAATGAATTGTCGTGTAGAATTCATTCTCAAATGAAATCTTGTGTTTGTTATGTCATGTTCAAATCTTTAGAAATAAAATAAATTGTCGTTAGAATTCATTGTCAAATTAATTCCTGTGTTTGGTATGTCATATGTATAAGTAATTTAGTTAATAAAAGAGGATAATTATATCATTCTATTAAAAATAGTAAATACTTGTGGAATTCATTTGGAAATTCCATCTCAATTCCTCGGAATTACTATAACTAGTTCCAATTCTGTAGAATTCAAAATTTAGAATTGAAAATAAATTCTTTCAAATAAAAAAAATTATTTAAAAATAAATTCCTCAAAAACTTAAAATTTTAAAACAAAGTTATGAATAGAACGGTCAAACCAAGAAAGAGATGGGCCTCTCGCGCCCAAACCATGCAGTGGGTGTAAAATCTTGGCTATTGTCAATTAGACGGCGTGAAAACATATACTATATTTTCATCATACCAAATGGACAATTCTGAACCAGTCTAGAGTAAGTTGATCATCAAATGTTTATTTTACCAAAAACTTGCATATAATGTTAAGAATTCACCTTATCTTTGAATTGGAGTACAGAGATAAGGATAATCATGCTGACACACAATTAGTAATTATAACAATTCGATTTGGTTGTGTGAACTGTGAACCTGATAAATATAAGTGCATGTTTACAATTTTTTAGTCGTCCAGCCAATAATCACTATGCAGAGCGCAACATGAATACTTCACAACTTATTCTTTATGCATCACAATCATTTAACCACAAATTAAGCGACGACAAAAATAATATAAGGACGATCTTGTTTAGTATACTGTATACAAAAACTTAAACAATATTCCACGCTCATCAATGTCTACATTCGAAATTTTTAACGACCGTCAAAACTCAAAAGAAGTAAGTAACACAGACGTTCGACACACACAGTGATTGAGAAAACCCTATATCGTATCGGCCAGTCGAATCGGAAATACCGAATATCGAACCCAAATCGATATCTGCAATTTCAGCACAGTATGAAACTTTCCGAGTCACTGTTTCAATACGAAACACTCTACTGCGCCGACTCTTTTTTTCCCGCGTATAACCTCCTCCAGTACAGTTTCGCAATCCTTGCCGCGACACACCCCCCACTAATCCGATACCGGAACAACCGTACTCATCTGCAGCGCACTAACACCACCATCAACACCACCCTCCTCGCCGCCTTCGCCGACGGCGGCGAGGCGGTCGCCGGTCATCTGGTCGAGGACCAGGACCAGCCCCATGGCGAAGGCGCCATCGAAGCCGGGCCTGAGGCAGAGCCAGAACACGTCGCGGCCGAGCGTGACGCCGGTGGTGGGGTCCACCTTGCGCTTGATCTCCGCCGCGGGCTCCTTGGCCGTCGAACCGGCGGCGGAGGAGTAGTAGACGGTGCAGGATCTGTGGACGTAGGAGCCTTCGATTTGGTACTCTTCCCCCGAATCGTTGTAGAGCTCTACCATCAGCGAGGACTGTCCGATTATGCTCGACTTGAACACCGTGAAGATGGGGCCAGTCGCCGTTGACTCGCCGTCGACGGCGGAGGAGGCGCCGTGGTTGGATCCGCCCTCGCCGAGGAAGCCTTCCCATCTGTTATGGAGACTTGGCTTCTGTGATAAGACACATGTACAATCCGAAGAGTCAAATTTTTTGTTATTATCTCTTTAAAAGAACAAGTTACAACTTTACTGTTTCATAGAGTCACGTCTTAACACTGTTACTCTTTTGCTTTTTACTTGTTCTCATCATTTCTCAATTGACTTTACGTTTTGTAGTTGGTCCTGTCACTTTCAACACTTTCTCTCTTATCTCTCAAGCAGAGGAAGAAGAAGAAAAGAAAGAAAAAATTAACAACTTTCTCTCTTTTGGGGTTGCTTTTCTTTCTTCCCATTTCCAGCCACACGAACCATTCTCTCTCTCCCTCTCCTGTATTTGTTCCCATCCACTCGTTTTTCATCTCTCTCCCATAGCTCCTCCCACCCACCAATCAATCTCCATCTCTCCTTTTCTCTCATCAGAAGAAGCAAGAAGAAGAAGAGGAACCAGGAGAAGAAGAGGAAGAATGCAAAGCCCGGCCGCCTCAATCGTGCTCTCCCTCTATCTACGATCCAACTTCTATGTTGTTTCTTTCTCTACGAACACAAATCTCCGACATCGGCGACGAATCGGCAAGTTTCTGAGGAAGGAGAGACGGCTGGATGGCTATCGTGAGTTTCCCTGCCGATAGCGATCTTTTTCTGAGAGAGGTTTTAGCAAGGGAGAGAAGGAGGAGGTGGTTGTGGGGGTGAGTCGACGCCGACGGAGTTCTAAGTGAGGCTGGAGGAGATAACGGCGAAAGGAGAGGTTGTGGTCTTCGGCGGTCGGGGGGTGGTGGGGATACCCTAGGTTTCCCTTGAGGTTGTGGTCTTCGGCGGTCGGGGGGTGGTGGGGATACCCTAGGTTTCCCTTGCGTTGGAGGAGGTTAGGTTGGAATCAACTTTTGGTGGTTTCGGCGGCGGCGGATGCGGAAGTGATGCTGGAACAGGAGGCGATGAAGCAAGAAGTACAATTACTTGAGAATCTCGAACAGGTATGGGTGTGAAGCCGATTTCTGATTTTTGCTTTGCTTTTCATTCTTAGTTTTCAGGGATGTTTTACCTTTTTACTGATGTAGCTTTTGCTTTTCATTTCGATTGTGGTATTCAGTACTCCTTTTCCCTTACATAGTCCTCCTCCTCTTCCTGCTTTTTGACAGCACCGGAGAAGAAGCGGTTAATGATGCACCCAGGAACAATGAGCATGCTGTTCAGGACCCAGAAGAGGTGGTTTCAATGGTGGAAATGTACGTTTGTTTCTCTTACTCACTCTGTTTCTTGCAATTCACCCATTTATCCATCCTTTCTACCATCGAATTTTCAATCTCTGGCTGACCATTGCTTGCTTGCTTCTATTACTGTACATCTGAAAATTGTGCGATTAGGGGGGGAATTGAATTGATGAGGGGGTTTCAGGGTTCTTGGCTGGCTCTCTTTTGGTGAAACTCCCTCACTTTACCAATGTGGCAAGAAAATATCAGAAACCACGTTCCTCGGCTGCTGCACTCCCTCATCTTTTTTGTTAATTTTTTTATTTTATTTTATTAGCTGATTACAACTTTTTCTTCACGCTGTTTATCTCATTTGTTGATTTCTGATGGTGAATCAATTATTAGTTTCTTATAATGCCTCTGTATTTGTTAGTTGTATTCTGAGTTCAATGGACCCTGTTTATCATGATTGACGCTGCTAACGTTATCATGGCTCTGTATTTGTTGGTTACTTGGTTCCGGATTAGGATTCTGAGTTCAACGGAACCTGTTTATCATCATTGACGCTGCTGACGTAAGCTATCGTTCAGGAATGCAGACTAAAACCCAACCGTCAAACAGCTCCACAGCATAATGGTTCTTTGTTTTGGGTACAAAACTCTACTTTGGTTTGATTTGGTTGGGCAAAACTCTAATTTACATTTCTTTCTTTGTCCCGAGTGATTCAGAGAATTCATGTTGCGAATGAAGGAAAGGGAGAAGAATCTCCTCTCTTTCTTTCTCCGAGTTCGTTTCGCCTGGAACACCTCTTTTTATGTCAATGTTCTGCACCCGGTAGAGATGGAGTCACTAATGTAGTTAAAGGGATGGAGAGAAACAAAAAGGTGTTGATGAAATGGAACTTGATCTCAAAGCTCTCTAGGTTGTTTCTTGCCGTTTGTTTATTTGCCATCTTTGTCTTTGAGTGGTCGAAGTTTTGCTCTTTAGAAATTCTCATATTCATGACATTTGTGCTCCCCAGGAACAAGCTCCTCTCGGTTGGTGGTGTTAAAAGCTTTATATAATGAGAGGATAAAAGTGCTGGACCAGTTGTCTCATCTACAGGCTGGTTGTTCCTTCATTCTAGGTCCGAGTACTATATCCTGTTATCGAATTCGTTGACTTAGAGTATTTTCTTGATGGAGCTGTTTTCTGATAGACTCATTGAAGAAGGTCAAGAAATGGAACCAGGGAGATGGGTTGTGGATTCCTGGATTTGGTTAGTTGGAACTGCCATCAAAGAATTAGTGCATTAAAGGAATTGCTCAAGTGAAGGAAGCCTTCTCCTCGGTGAGTACTTACTTTTATCTCTTGAATGTAGTAGCTCACACCAATCAGTCATTTGGGAGGGTAAGCAGGTTGTTGTTACCATGATCTCATGTACTTTACAATCTAGCAGATTGGGTCATGGTTTTGAACCTGATTGTTTAAGATATGCTCTTCCATTTGCTCTGTAGTTAGGGGAGTTGGGAATTAATGGATCCCCTTGGTACTGCTTGTCTTTTATTTTTATTTTTTTTTCTCACCGTTGTTCATATGATTTTGGATAATTTTGGGTCTCAGAAACATTAACCAAGGCCAGGGGACCTGGACTATTTTTATTTTAGCTTCATTCGGCCTTTCTTTCAATGATTCTACTCCAGTGCACCCAGATCAGAAATCCTATGTGGTTTGGTTCCGTTCCCTAAACTTTGGCTGGCTTCTTATGAGAAAATGTTCGGCCCTTCTTTCTTTCTTTCTTTCAATCTTTCATAATTGTTCTCTTGACCTTGGTTTAGCAATTAAGGTTCTGATTCATCCTTTGTTTTTGTTTCTTGATTTTTAGGGTTCTGATTCATCTTTGTTACTTTCATTTGCCTTCTATTTCCTTTTTCATTTGTTTTCTTACTATTTGTTGGTCTCTGCTAATGGCTAGGTTTTCATTTGATGATGTTGATTGTTTTGTTTAATGAATGTCGAGTTCTCCTCAGGTTCAGTTTCCTGTTTTCCCCAAAGTGATTTTTATATTTTATATTTTCTTATTAAGATCACTGTGGAATGCGTTGCAGGAAATTCAGGGGTTGTCGACTTGGCCACCGCCATTGCCTGATTTGAGGTATGTCGAGGGCTTGAAGCCAAGAACAAACTTTGGGTGGAAATTTCGATATCCAGAACAATTTTTTGCTAATTTTTGTTATTCAAATGATGTCGTTGGAATCTCTCTCAAAACCTTGAAATTCGTGCAGGAATGAACAGACTTCAGCCTAGCCATGGTTCACTTGGTCAATGGCATGCCTGAATTAACAGATTCACTTCCGAGATTCTGTTTCTGTGCTAAACTCTTGAAGTTTAGCATGCTTTATGCGACATGGTGGATGGAACTGTATGTTCATGCTTAGATTTCAAGATTGCTAGAATGCTGGGTATATTCTGTTCGATAGTCATGTTGCATGCATGATCAGTACTTTCATTTCATAGTATAAATGTGTTGAGAAAGGGAAAGCAAAATTGGTGGTTTGTTGTGTTCATCTTACCATGTCTCTCTCTTTTCGATTGTCCCTCCCAGCTGAAATGTCCATTTTTACTGTGTCACACACCTGTGTTCTGTCTAGGTTTCCCCTCATCTCTCCCTGCTATACAGATCTGGATAAATAAATGGCAAATGGATCTGTAGCCATTTGGTTTGGTTCCTTTTAGGATTTAGTTTCTACCCTCCTTGATTTCGTTCTTTCTCAATTTGAGAGAAGTTTTATTTCCAGGTCATGGTAGATCTTTGAAATGCAGGCATGACGCATGAGAGAGACAAGGGAAGAATCCTTTACTTGGCTAGCCTTTTTCAATAATTGCCATTTACCGTTCGAGTTGGCTCCTTTTGCCGGATGATTTGCCTGTTGCTTCTCACTGACTGTTTTTTCCTTACAATTACCATTTGCTCATCCATTGTACCTTATCTGCTATCATTTGGCGACCTTGCTTTATGGTCTCCACTTTTTTACTGCTTGGTTGGGTCCTTAGGTCTTGTTCGAGTTGGGAATGGTGTAGTTATTTGCTCTAGCATTGGTTAGTAGCTCCGACACTAGATATGAGTAACAAACTAACGATACCCTTCTCTTTATCCTGTGAAGATTGCACAATTTACTCTTTGTGATTCTTACTGCGTTTGTACGTCCTGCCGTTTTTGGATGGTTTTTCATTTCTTCATTGTCGATCCTAACATTAAGTCCATTCCAATTTGATGACAGGTGATTGGTTGTGATGGAAATCAATGAGAGTTGTCAGAAGGCAGCTTTTGTTGGATCTTCCGTTAGTGGCTATGCACACTAATGCGTAAGTATTTTTCTTATTGATTATAATTGTCTATCCTCTCATAGGTTATGCCACAGCTGGATTTGAGTTTTAACCTGTTCAAGAATGCCAATTTTACCATTGCTGCCAAATAAAACTTCTATCCTCTTCAAGTATGGCAATAATGTTAGACTGTGATCCTTTTCGTGTCGCTGTTGTAAATTCTTTGGCTTGCTGATTTATGATTTAGTCTTAACTTGGTTTGATATACCTAATTCCAGTTGTTAATAGCCATTTCTTGATTCAAACTAATTACCTCTTTCCATTCCAGATGTCTCCCTCTTTTTAAATTGAACGGAGAAGAATGTCGCGGCTGGAAGTCACTGCACATGAGAAGCCTCACCCTTGGAACAAAGGTCTTTATTGCTCTTCATCTCTCCGTTTTCTGTTCACAATCATGATGCATCTTTTTACTTCTTTAGTCTCTGTTTGGTTGCTTTTCGTGAGGGACCAGAAAATACTAATTGATGATGGAGCTAGGATCATGTTTGCTTTGTTTGTTTCCAATTGATTGGATTATAGAGGGAGGTTGATTTTATAGCTTTTTACAAGCACTATTAAATCACACAGTATACATTCATGTAGTTTTGATTGGCTTTAGTTTGTTCCTTTTTGCAAGTTTACACTTCCCAAATGTTTTCCCCAATTGGAACAATACCTTTTGTTTCGTTAAGTTTAATGCTTTGGACCTTGGCAATCTCATTTGTTTTGGTGTGTGTTTTATCTAATAAGAGTCATAAGGTTTTATATAATTCTTCTTTGATGGCCTCCATCTTGAGATTTTCTGTGACTGTTTTTGGATGGCGGTGAAGTGTTGGCCCCATTAGCGACTCTGGAGGAGATAGCACAACGCATGTTATCTGTGTTGGATGTCATTTGTAGATATTGTGCTCATTGAACATGATTTACAAATAGGGGGATTAGCCGGCTGGATACAAGTCGTCGACCGGAACGGTGGAGAAGGTGGAGAAGGTGAAGCCACACAGAGAGGCGAAGCGTAGAAAGGGAAAGTGATATGCGCTCTCCACTACTTTGCCCCATTACCTTCATGATTTGCCCTCATGAAATCTGTATTCTTTAGCTATTTTGATACCCCTATTTCCATTTCATCAGTCTGTTTCGCTTTGAGTCTCTGTTTATGTTTGGGTATTATGATATCAAGAAATCGAATTTTGATGGATGTGCCGTCAAAACTATTGGCAGGGGCTTGGTGCGGCAAACTGGATGGGAGTGCCACACAAGCTATTTTGATTCAGTGTGATTTGTCATTTGTCGATTTAGGTCCTGGTTTGGGTTGACATTCTACTTACCTTTTGTGCTTTTAGAAGGGTTCAGTCTACTTGAGTTTTCCTTTTATTTTGAATTGTGCTGGTGTTAATGTGAGATAATTTCCCGTAAAGATCAGTTTGCTTGCTGTTTAAGGGTTTCCTGCTTTATTTGTGAAGTTCAGGAGTCCAACTCTACTCACTCTTTACATTACCAGTAGGACCAGAGGCAGGTGGGTTTTAGCGATCGAGTTTCATTGTGCAACTAGGCTCTGCTGCTGGGAAGTTGGCCGGAAAGACCTGTAATTCTTAGTTTTTTGGGACCAAGGGTCCAGAAGATTTGGATTTCACCAAGTAGATAGTTGTGTGGGGTTGGAGTGATTGAGGACGAGAGGAATTAGAGTCACCCGTCCAATCCTTCTCCCTGCAAATGTTGGCTTCTTTTGAATTCTGGGTCACTATTACTTTTCAACTGCATTTGCTAGGAAAACTTCGTGCAAGCAATTTTCACTTTTCTTATTTATACTTTTTAACAATGGGATCTTAATAATCTGTGTACTTTTGTTCCCCTGCTCCTAGGAACCACACCATACCAATTGCCTCAGCCCGGCAAACTTATGCTCAATCTCAACGACACTAAGATCGATGAACTCAACTCAGGCTTCTTCACCTGCACATTTGGGGTTCGTATGCTCCTTCATAGTCTGAAAGACTTCAACTATTGCATCTATCATGCGATAAAAATTACTTCTATTGATCCACAAAACTACATCAAGCAGTATGCAGGCATGTGGTTTCTATTGGGAATGGTTGAAATGGTCTTTATTTATGGGTATTAAGCTCAAGGCAACAACTTCCACGCAAGACACAGTGGTGCGTTGTTTAACAAAAGGGTAATTTATTATCATCATTGAGTGGTTGAATGGTATATTAGTTGTGTTTCCTCTTCTAACGATGCAATGTCGCTCTGCACATCAGCGAGAAACATGGCCCAAATTGCGTAAAGATAACCCTCAGCTTTTCTTAGAGGGATTTGGAAGCTGAATCCATGGTTCGGCTATTCGTGCTATCACCAAATATACCGAGCCAGCAACAATTATGACTGTAATGCCGATATATGTGTTTGTCGGGATCCTCATCCTCTTTTGCAGTGATTGTTCAGCTGTGGGTATTCCTCCCTTCGCAAAAAATAAGATTGCAGTTTCTTTGTGTAATTTTGTTGATTGATGTTTGCTGCTATTGTTAGCGAGGTTGTTGTGGAGAAATACAAACTGACTTTTTAAGGTTTGGTGGTCGTTATGAGTTCTCTCCGTACCCAGGTACGTTAAGTTCATTGACCTTTAAAAAGACTTTAATTTTGCATGTAAAAGATTCATGGCGTTTGTAACGAGTCTTGAGAACTTCCCATCATGAGCTTTTCGGAGACAGAGGCGATATTGATTCAGCTACCGAATGTGCAGCTATAGATTACGTTTAACCAAATTAATTATCAGCTACATTTTGTTCTTTGTTGAATGATGTGACAGTGCATATGGTCACTTGGTGAAGCTGTAGATTAAGGTTTGTGCAAATTATGTCAAAGGATGATTCTGTGCATCTCTGGAATTACAATTGAATCAATCTTAAGTTTAAGAAGTTTCACACAACATACTTCCACTGCCCGTTGTATTTTCCATTTTGGTTCATCATTACAAAGATCTATGTTGGACAAAGCTTTCAATTTAATCTCTAAGGGTGGAGGGTTGGATTGGTTAGAGGTTTACTACTTTTGGAATTAAGGAAACTAAACGTGGGGGCCTCTTCGAAAGACACAATGGTGCTTTACTTAAAAAAATGTGTATCTTATGTTAATCACAATATGATCTCTCTTTGAAATCCCGAAAACGACCAGCTGAGCTATGTATTGATTGCCAGTCAGGATTCGAGTGATTGTTGAATTTCATTTTGCATTATAACTTTTGTTAGTGGTATATGTTCTTCTTACCAATTGCCTCATTGTTTTCTTCACGATTCTCAAGCAGAGGTGGTCAGTTGGGTAGCATCTCTGAGCAGCGCTGGGTGTCTGCTGATGTGTGATGCACCGGATCAGAGATCTTAAAGATGGTAACTTCTGGCCTTTTTTCCCTATCATGCTCCCTATTTTTAGCCTTTTCTTAAGCAGGCTATCATATTGAAGCACTCAATCATAAGTACACTTATAATGAGATATTAAGAGTATTGATTCTGCATTTGTTTCACTTTTTGGGTCTTCTACAGCTGAGAAATGCCGCTTCTGCCATTATGAACGTGAAAATTTCACAAAACCTGTAAAATGAGAAGGTACACATGCATACTGAATTGGTGTTGCGATGCCTAGATCAATCGAACCTTTACCTTTAAAACCTTTAATAAACTAGATTAACAAAAAATAATGATATATATGTAGGTCTGGAGCGGATAGTCCATGATACATTTTCCACAACTGAAAAGGGAAGGAGAAATCTAATGGTATGAACACCGGGGAGCTGCATAAGCTCGAAAGAAAGCTAAACTCTGGTATGACCATTTTCCTTACGTTAATCAGTCATTGAGTATGTTTTTGCTTTGATTAGATGGGTCTTCTGGTTAATATTAGCTTGCTGCTTGATTCTTTACTTTTTCCACGCTTTAGGTCTAAGGTTTGGTATGTGGAGCCTGTGGTTATCTGCGAACATTTCAGATATCGATGATGGTTTAATTCCACTAACATTCTTCTCGGACCATCTCCCAGGTAATCTGACATAATTTTATATCAGGGTACATTTATACGTTTTGGTAATTTTATATTGATGGCTTTGCTTAGTTTGGTTCTATTGGATCCATTGTAAAGAACGGAATCTCAATAACATTTGCGGTTAAGTCGATCTACTGCCATGTGTGTTTCATTTGTTTCAGTCTTCTGAATGTTATTTCTTTATTGGTTTTTCTCATTCGCAATAGAGTCAATGAACAAACTCACAACCCCAAACATACCATACTTTTACCAGTCACTTTCACTGTAGTAGTGACGCAGTTTGGAAATCAGTTGTGTTGTTCGTAAC